TTGTGCCCCTGGCAGAGCATGGGGAGCTGAAAAGTCCTTGCTTAGTGTCAGCACTGCTCAGCAACAACTAAACCATCAACGTGTTATCAGCATTATTCTCATCCCAAATCCAAAACACAGCACTATGCCCGCTACTAGGAAGAAAATTAACTCTATCCCAGCCGAAACCAGGACACCCACCAGGAAGGTGACGTCCGTCTGGTTTCCCTGCAGGACACGACGGGGATGTGACCTGGCTGGAGGAGCCTCCCTCAAGCTGGTGGCCTGGTGCTGGTGGGCGCCATGTGCCGGAGGAGAGGACGCAGACCCCCTGCCAAGGTGAGTCCTGGGCCCCCACCACCACCACACCTTCCTCACCACCAGCCTCTGGAGCAAAGAGCCCGGGGCAGGCTCCAGCCCCATCCCTGTCCCCAGCCACTTGTGCTGCACCCGGTCATCACTTCCAGGCCTTCTCCCAGCCCTACGCCAGCGGATCCCCAGGCAGGTCTTGGCTCTCCTGCCCATACAGGCGGAGGTCGGGGGTGTGGGGCCCAGGCGGCCCCTGAATTGTGAGGAATGGCTCTTTCTCACTGGAGAGAGTGCAGGGTTTCACCACCTCCCCCGTTTCTTCAGCACAGTCCCCCTCTCCCTGTCCCATCACAACGCCCCAGCCAGGAAGAAGATAAACTCTTTCCAACCCTCTCTCGGCAGGAGGACGGTGCATGCAGTGGCGTCTCCGGTCTAGAAGACTGCTGAACAAGTTCAAGTGTCTCGGGGGGAGGAGCGAGTTGCCGGCAGAGGCGGTCGGCACAGGAGTGGGGCTGGTGGAAAGCCGAGACCGGGCACGGACGGTCTCCTGCCCTGGGAAGGAAGGAGCAGTAGAAGATAAACAAGGGGTCATGGCAAACGTAACCCAGAGCAGAGGATTCCCACTTCATCCAGTGATGGAACAGCAGAACAAAAAGGCGGATCCTTGGGAGCGTCTGCGTGGTGACCCTAGGGAGAGGTTTCAAAGGAGTGCCCAAAAAAGTCGACGCATCTTGGGAGAAGTGACGTTTCTCCAGGGAAATAGTGAACTGTCCGTTGAGGATCTGAATGAGACTATTTTGAAAGACCACTGTTACTGTGTGATGAGCGAGACGCAGCTCTCGCGTTGCACCCCACGTCCGTGTCCTCTGAGAGAGCACGACTACTGCAGAAACCATAAGGTCGGTGTCTCGGCACTTAAGGACCACGAATACTGTCACGTGCAAAGGACTCATTATCAGGGCAGAGTTAATAAAATTGTTCGTCTTACTGGTAAGGCTCGAGCCGTGCTTCACAGGCTGGCAAAGCGCAAATCCCAAATAGGGCGAATCATCAGGAAAGCCAAGCGAATTATGTGGCACTACAAGCCTTACGCCAACAAGAGGTTTGAGTTTCCTCAGGGTTCCTTTAGCACCGGCTGTCTTTCTGAACCTGCTGTCCATCCTGCTAAGGCAGAAGACGACCCCACGAAGGGAACGTGTGGGGGATTTTGTCCTGCAAAGCAGGAGACTGGTACCCCCCAGCCTCAGAGCGAGGGAGGGTCCCAAGGGGGGACAGCAGAAGCACTTCATGACCCTGTGGTGTCCTTTGAACCAGTGGCTGCACCCCCACCCTCAAATGCAGCTGCGGAGGTGAAGAGGGAAGCGACGCACCCCAAGGCATCCGTACACCGCAAGGCGCAGAGGGCACAGCTGATCTGGAGCCCAGACGCTAAGAAAAATGTCGAAGGACATGAACTCGTTAACTCAAATTCTGTATCGATGCACGATGCGTATAAAATGGTGATGCAGACTGTCGATCACATGTTGGACTCCATATGTCAGAACTTCGAGCTCGGTGGCTTCTCTCAGTGTAAGGATATCTGGCCCATCGTCATTCAGATAGACAGCTGACTGCCAGCAGAACGTCAGCAGCGACTCTTCCGTCTGTCGAGGGGAAGAGTTGGGACCTTCTTCCCTGCAGCAAAACACACCGAAGTGGTTTGAGAGAAGAAATGCTGTGAAAGCTGTACAGAGGTGGATTAGTGGGTATAAAACGCAGTATGTGGCACCTGCTGGGGAAACTGGGATTGTCTGAGAGGCCTCAGGGAAAAGGCCAAGGGAAAGGGAAGTGTGGATAAAAGGAGGAAGCACAGGAAAACAGAGCGAAGGGAGAAGGACGGGCAGCCACGTGTGAGCAGACAGCTTGGTCAGTACGTTTTTCTGGCCAGGCTCTGCCTGACTACTGTGGTCTTTCCTGTCTTCTCATTAAACTATTTTAAATTATTGTCAGTGCTGTCACACTCTCTGGTCTGCCCATCTGCGTGTGGGCTGCGCTCTCAAACAAAGGAGCAGCCGCTCACCGGCCCCAGGTGGGGAGGAATCCCCTGGGGTCTTCGGGGCACTGAACTCAGCTGTCATTAGTGCTTCGCTCTGCCTGATGCAGGCAGTGTGCCTGGCTTTCTGGGGTTTCTGACTACTAATATAAGCGGAGTGAACGGAGAGAAATTTTTAGGGTACGGCATTAAAGGGGGACTTTTTTTGATGAGACTCTGCAGCTATCACTTGTAAAAGCAGGCAGGGGCATACCATGCGGAACCCTGCAGCGTTGTCTTCCTAAAACTGCTGAAAAGCAGCACCGTTCAGCAGATCTCTGTAAGGGGGACGCTGCCGGGGCTGCCAGCAGCAGACCGGTCCGTGACCAGGAGGTGAAGCTCCCTGAATTCAGCTACGGGAGGTGCCAGGAGGATTTGGTGGATGTGTGGGATGCCGGTGAGGCAAGTGGCAGCAGCTGCCCGCAGTGCCGTGTGGGCGGCTGGGCTTTGCCGGTGGTCACGGGGGAGCTGAACCCCCAGGTGAGGAAAGGGGGGACTGGGACCTTCTGGAGAGAAGAATCTTGCGAGACCAACAGTGCCTGGGGAACCACAACACTCATTCTGGACAATGCTGAGATTACTCTGGTAGTATCAGAAAAGCCAAATTTGGGTATAAGCGTAGCAAAACTGGAATGAATTTGTAATATTTTGTGTCAGGAATAGTGTGGCCAGCAGGAGCAGGGATTGGCCCCCTGTACTCGGCGCTGGTGAGGCCGCACCTGGAATGCTGTGTCCAGTTTTGGGCCCCTCAGCACAAGGAGGACATTGGGGTGCTGGAGCGTGTCCAGAGAAGGGCAGCAGAGCTGGGGCAGGGTCTGGAGCACAGGGCTGGTGGGGAGCGGCTGAGGGGGG